GCGAAAAGGGCGCGGGGCGGTTACAGCCTAGTTTTGAAGCTCACCTGCCAATCTGAAAGTGATGGACGCATATGACGCTATTAATATATGATCGCCGGACGGAGCCCTGCGCTTGGCAAGGAAACACAAGTGCTGAATCGTCTGATGGCACTTTGAACCGCGTCCGCGAAGCCGAAACATATCCCCAGTCTGCTGAAACCTATCGTCCCCAAGACTGCGCTTTATTAAGAAGCAGGCTCAGCTCGCTCAATAGCCCACGGAGAAACGTGCCAGTCAATAAGCTCGAGTCAGTTGATACCACACATGAAACGCCGTTTGGGCTGACTGTGACGTCGCAGAAGGGTATATACAAATGTGGTTCCAAAAAGCCGATACAAGCTGTCAGCCAGTCATCTTCTTTTTGTCTTTTTTTGGAGAGGCATCATTTACCATTATTGTACGTAAACCTTCGCTTTATCTGATGTGTAGCAGGCCTTCGATTGTGTAGATGCAGCCCTTCCAAGCAGAGAGTCCAATAGGCTCAGACACATTGCCTCCTGTTGTAACCAGGGCCGAGTAGTCCAAAATGTTCCAGGTTCAGCGTGGCAGAATCCCTCATAGGGGGAACTGCAGGATGAGGTTTAGGGGGAATCGGAAGAACATCTGATTCACGGCCTATGTTGGGACACGGTATGTTGCTCGACTTGTCGAAACATGGCTTTTGGAACCCCCATTTTCGTTGGTTGAGTTGCCAGCACACGTCCACAGAAATTAATCCTACTGGGTGGACAGAATTTTCAACCCGTGGCATGCTGCCAAGCACAATCTATTCCCCAACCGAGAATACCGGGCGGTAAGATGCTGTGGAGAGCCAAGACCCGGGGATATCGAGTAACAGACTCGGCCGATCGTGGTCAAGCAATAATGTTAACCAAATATGAGCGAGCGGTGTTCATATCGTTCCGAGATGTACCTTGGTACAGAGAGGACCATGTATATACATGTCCCCATTATCTGGACAGAGCTGTTTCAAAATGCAAACTCGTGTATATGTAAAACGTTGAGGCGACTGATGCTTACGTCTTGCTCGAGTCAAGTAAATATCTGCGGCGCCATCGGGCTTGCCATCACAAAGGAAGACTTACACAAAGCTCCCGGTTGACTAATAAGCGTTGAGAGCACAGCATCTGGTCTACAGTATGGCAAGTTGAAGCATGTCGACTAGAATTACGCTTTTCGAATCACCAATTGTGTCCAACTGAATCAAGTGGTATCTATTTCAGCCGCGCCGTGAATGCCAGCCAACCCAACGCCCTCTTAGAAGCCAAGCCCAAAAATACCTTCAAATGCATGCCTGCTATATCCATAGAATTACCTCCTCTTTTCGTCAAATTCGTATCAATGGGATAGATGCGTCAAATCCAGGTCTTCTCCTCACAAATCCATGCCTCGGGTGTCATCCTTGTTATCATCGACCCCGAGTTCCTTCTCCAGTTCATCTGCCACAAATCCCTCGTAGTCATCCAAATTCTTCTGGATATGTATCTTGAACTTGATTACATCATTTAGCATGCGATCAATTTCCGTGTGCAGCTCCTCGCGCAAAGAGTTTGCCCTCAAGACAAGCTGCTCGTACCTAAAAGCCAATGCTGTTAGTTTCCCCAAGTCCAATAGTCCTTGTGCTTGTGCAGGCCAGGTGGGCGTACTCAATAGTTGTGTTGATTTCGCGTTGTTCCAGGAGCTGGACAGATTCTGAGAGTCCAGCTCGCATTCTGGACAATTCCTTCTCCATCTTCTCAATCTGTGCATCCGAACCCATTTTCTGGGCCGTAGTCACCTCTCTCGTCTTTTCATATTCTTCCTCGGCCGCTCGTACACGGTGTTCCAGCGCTTCGACTTCGTTACGCTTGTCTTCAATGGCTTCCTTGATACCGTCCAGCAAGTCATGATCTTTCATCATGTCCTCCATGGCCGCACTCCGTCTATCAGAAATTTCCTTCCGTAGCATCAGGAAGTTGCTTCGAATTTGGCCCCGAAGATCGAGGTTAAGAATGTGGCCGGGTTGGTATCCTGTTGTTGCATCGGCTAATAGACGTTCAGCCGATGGCGCCATGTTACGAGACGCGTTGAGGTTGGTGGACGTAAAATCCGAGCTGTCGCTGATGGTGAGTTGCAGTTCATAATCTCGGCCCCTGGCATTTGCCGCTGTGGCCGGGATCACGGCAATTTGATAAGCAAGAGTGTTGTACTTGTCTACCATGCGCTCAAGTTCTTCGAGTTTCTGGCCAGCTTCTGACTCTTTCTCTGCAACCTTCTTCTTGATGTCATCGAGCCTCTGGCTAGCAGTTTCGATGCCCTTCTGCAGGCGCTCACGCTCAGAGTTCATGCGGTCAATATCCTGCATGCTAATACCCTGTGCATCAACTGCCCTCTGAAGGCTTCTTCGTTCATCTTCCACTTCTCTCAATTCTTCCACTACTTTGTCCAGTTCTTCATGTAGAACTTGAATGCGATGCTCGTACTTCTCGGATCGCTGTAGAGCCAAGTTGTTATACTCTTCAAATTTAATCTTGTCCTCCTCCATGATTTTGAAATGATCATCTAGTACGGCTGGGTCAGGTGTTGCCTTTTCCAGGTCCTCAATTTCTTTCCGTAGTCTCGCGTTCTCAGCCTCAAGCATTTCAAGTTCCGAAACATATTTGGCGTTTGAATCCTCGAAAGCTCTGGCCATGGCGTCGATGTGTGGTGCAAGAATCCTTTCGGCATCGTCATCGCCCGTATCGTCGTCCATAGCGAGCCAGTCCTTGTACGCCGTGCTCAAAAAGTCAAAAATAATGTGGTCGTCGCTAACATCCACACCAGCCTCCAAGCAAGCATCAGCATACTTGTTGGCAGCATAGCCCTCCAACATTTGCACCAGCTGCATCATCCAATACAAGAGACCCAAAAAAGTGCTCCAATTTTGACCACCAACAGCAGCTAGCTGGCTTTTGGTAATGCTCCTCTCGAATGGATACCTAAGCTGTTTCAAGATGGGCGGGACTTCCTGGTCAATGTTTTTCAAAAACCTATGGCCGGGGTCAATGCGATGGTATAGCCACTGAAACATGTAATTGAAGTCCTTTTGTGTTGGGGACTTCATGACATTTGGTGACAAGGTATGGCTCATTTGCATTTCGAAATCGTTCTGTGCCATGTACTCCATCAATTCTTGACCCATCCTCATTTGGAAAGATCTATCCTTCAGAGGGCGAGGGTCCTTTGGCACACCAGCAGGCTGTAGCGTCGTTTGGAAGAAGCCTTGATGACTATTCACGCCTCCCACCGTCGACTGCCTTGGCCTGTAGATACTGCTTCGCCTCTCTGCTTCAGAGGATTGTCTCGTCATTCCTGGAGTTTGAAGGACATTTTTAGGCTGGAATGAGGATCGCTTGACTGATGACGGGCCAATATCTGCAAGATTTGCACCTGAAGATGTGCGTTGGAACATGGGCTGGCTTGGCCTCGACATGGCGAGGGATTGCCTAGATCCCGATACCGATCGTACATGGCCATTGTTATTCGAGTTGGTCCGTTTCATGGTTGAGCCTGGGGGTGGAAGTCCGGTGTTCGTCCCTATGCCTCCAAGTGTCTGCGCCGCAA